TTTTTTTTTTTTTTTTTTTTGTGTCTGTTACCACTTTTTCGCAGCTCTCACTATTATTATTATTACAATAGCTCTCATCAAACCGATTTCATTCAACAATAAGTCAAAAGATCACAAATCGTGTCTAGTCGAAGACATTACACTCAAAAATTGAAAAAATTTCCCTCGGTCCCCGTAAATGGGGGAAACCTCCAAAAAAATTACAAATTAAAAAATCGCTAATTTTCGAAATTTTTTCAATTTTTTTTACTTAAAATTGCCATATCTTTTTTAAAAATAACCAAATCAATATAATTTTTTTTTTTATATAGATGCATGGTATCATTCCTTCCATTTGGTATATTTTTTTTACAAATTTGACCCTTCACCTGCCCATAGGGGGGGATTTAAAATTACAATTTTTTCACAAAAAATTAACTTTTTCAACTTGACTTTTGAAAATGTACCGGAAAGTCTGACACTTTTATATATATCTTAAATTAAAGCTAACGTAATGCACTTTATTATGGAAAAAAAAAAATTTTGGACTTTATTTTGTCTTCATGGTGAAAATGGCTAGTTACAATAGGGAGCTCCCCCACAAGCTTTTTTTGGGAAACAAATTATGGAAAATGATAGAAAGGCCCAAAATTGTTGGTCCCTCCTATAAACATTTTCTGGCTACGTGCTTGGAGCTGGGGTATTTTTTTTATTAACTTTGATGACTATTTTCACTATCAAAACAAAATAAAGTCCGAAATTTTTTTTTTCCTTATAAAGTATATTTCATAAGCTTTAATTTAAGATATATATAAAAGTTTCAGTATATCCGGAACACTTTTAAAAATTAAATTGTAAAAGTTCTACTTTCTATATACATTTTTATGTTTTGAACCACCCCCTGTTTTAAGGGAAATAGTCCGATTTAAAAAAAAGTATGTCGAATAAAAGAAGTATATAAATATTATTTCTTATAAAAAAATTGTATTAATCCATAAAATTTTCAAGAACAGTTACCGACTCCACCACACCATCCCTCTTAAATATAACATCAAGTTATATAATTATTTTACTTAAATTAACATGTTGAAATAAAAATTTATTAACAAGAAAAAATCAGTTTTTTAAACACGGTCCCGCGTTACTTGTGATATACAGCGACCCGAAGCACCTATACCAACCGTCGCCCTATTATAGGTATTTGATAGTTTGACCAACAGTGTGTGCCATACGCCATGGTGCAAAGTTTAGCAAGTGTCGCATGGCCGACCCGCCGCAAATGATACGTAGAGTCTACTTCCCGTCATCAAAGGACATTTGTCCTGTTCTATGAATAAGTTATACAAAATAAATATTATTTTCGGTCAAAATGTTGCCAAGTGTTACAGAATGTTTAATTAGAAATTTCATGGTTTGATTTTGAAATAATTAAAAGACAAGTATAATTTTTATAATTTGATTTTATCATCTACAAATCTTGTTTTACAATAAGACATATAAATGTTGAAAGAGTGTTTACAAATTAAACAAAATATTATATTTACACATCTTAAATAATTCTTCAAGTCTGACTCCTAGTATTAAAGTTATATGCCATAATATGTATTTTTATGTCCTGACCTGTTCAATAATACTTTTAACATTACATCAGCTACGTTAAAATCAACTAAATCTAAAAAATACAATAATATAAAAGTTAAAATAGACTTTCATTATAATTTATTAAGTAATTACCATCGTCATCAATATTTTTCTTCAAATCAAACACAGTGTTATTCTGAGGCGGACAGGCTACAAAGGAACTGGGTTGACTTTCCAGTTCATCTTCGTCTGAAAAATAGTCCTAAAGTATTCAAAGTAATTTATTGTATTATGTTTAAGTAGAAGAGAGTATATAATAACGAGGGTAATTTACTCTGCGTTTTAATTATTTAAAAACAATTTATTTATTAAATACTTTATAAAATCACAATCACTAATTGTACAAGTCCACAGAGAAGCACGAAGACGATAAAAGTTCAATTAACTTGTACTACTATCTTTACAGAGACACCGGTCGAACATTCGTGTAGTAACGATAAGCTAAACCTTCCATATATGATAATATTAAGCATAACATATTAATAACGTTGAGTTAAGTATGCATCACATTATTAAATGATTCATGTAAACAGAACATATACGGAATGGTCGTACTAATTAATTTCAAATAAAAAATTCAGGAACTTGTCATCTTTGACTTGCATTCTATTTGTAAAATATGGCATGTTTAATATTTAATATTATTGAATTTGATTAAAATTACCGCTAGTTTTACGTTATTAGGATATGGATTTTTATGTATTTATAAATTTTGTTAAGTTATTCCGAACACATGTTAAATTAAATTGTTTTATATATTAAATTTTTTGAAAAGAAGTTTAGTAAATATCGTATGCTATCATAATGTATCGAGTTGGTAATTAAGAATATTTTTTTTATTGATCTTAAAATAACATTGGCTGCTTTATATAGATTTAAACAATATCTAATTAAGAATTGCTTATAAATTATACATTTAAAAGATTTAAAATTCTTTAGATGTATTAGTTTGAATAATAATATCTATAAAATAAGTTTTATGATCTCTTAGCTTATTTTTGCCATAATTATGGTAAAATTGGCTAAGCTTTTATGGTAATCCATATAAGGCTATGTAACTTTAGTATTCTGATAGTGAGTTACTAAAAGTCGAGAAACAAAATGTATAATAATTGTGAGGTACACTAAATTTTTTGGTTATAATTCATGTGAATACATTTCAATGATTTTATCAATTACTTTTTTAAAATCATTCTGATTTCCATCATTTTTGTGTTAGAGACAAAACAATTGGGGGATTTAACTCGTATGTAAATAATTCTTTAATTATCTACATAATTAATCATATTTATAAATTTATTCATAATTACGTTTTTTTCACGAGTACCACAGCCCATAGAAATAATTAATTCTATGGATTTTTCCTTTTTTATAAGACCATCGTGATCATCGTCAATCTTATGAAATTCGGTTGTGATTATTTCAACTTCATTTTCATCTAGTTTTTCTATCTAAAAAAGCAAAATAATTTATTTATTGATTCATATAAAAAGTATTTATTACTTATATTATTAATTAATTTTACATAATAATTACTTTGATCCTTCTCAACTTTAACCAAAAACTTTAGAAGCTTTTCGACTCTTATGTGTACTGGATCTATGAAATATTGATACCATATTTAAATACAGCGTGATCATAATTTAATGTTACATACTTATTTTTAAAAAATTAATGAAAATAAAAATTAGTGTTAAAAATAACTGTGGATGGTTTTAATGGGTTAACTTTGAAAAATCAAATGGAAACTTATGTTTTTTTTAGTCCATTGTTTAAAGTTTTTTTTATAGATATTAACGGTAAAAAAAGTGTGTATATAAAATAATTATTGAGCTACAACTTATTGAATTTGAAATAAAATTGAAATTTGATATTATTTCAAAATATAAGATAAATTCAGTTAGTCAGTATAACATTTGTAGCTATTGTAATATTTGTAGCGCTTAATGCCACAATACACAACAGTAATAACTGATAAAAATTAAGATATAACAAACGTATTATAATAACATAATTACCAGTGCCAGTTCTAGGGTAAATTTTCTGAGGAGGCCATAGGTGCACATAGGGGGGTACTGGGAGGTGTTTAGAACACCCAAATCTAAAATTAGCATCCTCAGAAATTTTGAGCAAGATAAAAATTTTAAGAGAGTTATGATTGTAATAATTTATTATTATATAGAATTCCTATAATTTACCAAAATATTGGAATTAAATTAAAAATACCAATTATCATATCACTATTTTTTCTTTTAATTTTTCAAAAAATATGTCCTTTTTAATCTAACATTAGATTAAAGCTAACACAATGCACTTCAAGATAAAAAAGAGAGCCGTAGCGAGACGCCATGTAGATAAGAAACATCGAAACTATTTTGTATGTAAAATATGCATGATAGGATAGTTTATTAAAGGAAACAATAGGCCCCTCTTGTCCCCTAATATGAGTCTATATCGTTCCCCCTAGCCTTACTAAGAGGTATCCAACATACGCTATAGGTATATGAGTTTGTAACGGGATAAGTAATTAGCAAGTGACGTCGTAAATTAATTAACAAGGGTCGATCACCCATGTCAGGATCTATTAATAGGCCTATGCTTGTGTAAGTTATAAGAACACTTCCAATTATATAATAAAATTTATTTCATTTAAATTTTAAAATTTATATATACATAATTGATAAAAAATACTTAATTATCAAAACTGAATAAATACTAAATACATAATAAATAATATCTTTTATAGTAAAAAATAAATAGGACAATGAATAAAAAGCCAAGAGTAATCAGTCCTATGAGTATATGTATACCATGTAAAACAATACTAAAAAAACGTCTATTTTTCTTTCTAATTGTGTAAATTAAATTAAAATCTCATGAATTAGTCAAAAACGCTTTTCGTATTAACGGCCAATCAGTGAGATCCATAAAAACAGTTTGGACATTGTACGGAAAACCGGGTACGACATTTTATCTTGGTGAGTTGTTTGTTATATTATATTCAAGATATAATACTAAATATATATATATAAGATATAAAACTAAATAGATTTTGGAGGTATACATTTTATAAGTAGCAGTATTAGAAGAGTTGGATTAGTAATCTAGTCATATTAAAATTCTATGATTTAACTAAAAAATTTCATGAATATATATATATATATATATAAAAAGAAAACAATATATTTAATTTTAATAAACGAGTACTTTTATTATGATTATTTAATCATAATCATAAGAGGCAATCGCATATTTCCAGGGGAAATGTCCTTTCCCTTGCCATATTAGCATATTAGAAAATAAATGTTATAGTATATGATGAACACAAAAATGTATAAAACTATTTCTAAAAGGATGTGTAAAACTAAAAATATATAATCAGGATTAGACATGCGATGAAAAATATAAAAGTTAAAAATGGCAGATATATTAAGGGCGAGAGCGGGAGAGTGAAGTAAATAATGAGGAAAAACGCGAATAACTCCTTCTCATGGAAATTTTCAAAAAAATTTTCAAATCATTCAATATTTATCTCATTTAGATTCAATAAATATAAAGGATCCTATCACTATAGTCTCTCCTCGTGAGAAGAAATTTATATTCATCTTAATATTATTTTACTATGTGGTTCTTTTTGTGGCTACGATTTATTTTGTCAACTCTCACTAGACGTACTTTTTTCAACGTTACGTCAAATGATTACAATTCGTATTTAGTTTAAGTTATTACTCTTAAAAATCGAAAAAATATTTCTTATTCAAATAAAAAGTAGCTTAACCAGCTTTTTCTATACAAACAATTAAAATCATTAATTTCTAATATTTTTAATGAATTTATTGTCGAATTAGATTTGATATGGTAAAAGTATTCAACTACAAAAGTAAATAATTTTACTTTGTAATTTTTTAATTTTTTAACTCTATTTGTGTGTAGCTACTATCAGCCTATAATATTCCAATTTTTTTTGTAACATGTTGCTATATAAATCATAAATTTAAAAAAAAAATGATTTTTAGTATCACCTGAATTTAACGATGGATTTTTACAATTATAATCAAATTTTATAATACGCTCAATTAAGTAAATTTTTTAACTTTTTTTTTATTGTTTTTTTTAGATATATAATCATTAAAATTAATTAAATTCTGAATATTTCCAACGTAGAATCTTTTTAAACACCAAAAGTTAATTAGAAATGATTACTATGATTTTTATTTAAGTGATCTATTTCGATAAAAATGTAAAAAAAATCGAATTTTTATGTTAAATTTACTGTAAGTAGTAATTATGAAATTTCCTGATTGCATATTAATGTTAACAATTTCATTTTTTTCTATTTAATAATGTCAATGTCAAACTTGCAAATTGAGCTAAAAGTTATAATAATAAATTCATTTTTTATTAAAACTTTTACTTTAAAAGACAAAAAAAAGTAGGTTCAAAATGATTACTTTTAACATATTAAAAATCAAAATCAATAATAATTTGAAACCGATTAATTTTAAAAATTATTTAATATGTAATTAAAAGAATTACTAATCTGGGTATAATTAACGAAATAGAAGTTGATGTTGCTTTTGTAATTATCCATCAATTTCTTAGAATCAAACACTACAGATTTGCATTGAAGCGTTTCTTATGATAGTGATTTTAATCACTGTCACATTAAATCTATACTGGACCCAACTATGCAACGTCCCCACTATGCCGCGACTCCACTGTGCTGGGTTTTTTTTATTTACTTTTCTGTGTCTGTGAACGCTCAATCTTAGCTCTTACGGTGAGAGTCTCACCGGACCAATTTTGATGGAAAATACGTCAAAAGATCACAAATTGTATCTGGTCTAAGACATTACCCTTAAAAATTGAAAAAAAATCCTTCATTCCCCGTAAATGGGGAAAATCCCTAAAAAAAATTCAATTTAAAAAATCGATAATTTTTAACATTTTAACTATCATAACTTTTTTAAAAATTAACAAATGAACATATTTTTTTCTATAGATACCTTAGGTATTTATTTATTATTTGATTTATTTTTGTGATTATTTGTCCCTTTACTTGCCCACGAGGGGAGTTTCAATATGTCAGCTTTTCCACAAAAAATTAACTTTTGAAAATGTTCCGGAAATACTGACTTATGTAATATACTTTAATGTGAAAAAAAAATAAAATTGACCTTTAGAATTGTCTTCATGGTAAAAATGGCTACCGTATTCAAAATTATATTATTTTTGTGTTAAAAATTCTCGGTTATGTATTTTATTTTATTTTAAAATTCCTTACAATGGCAGTATACTGATTTCTATTAATATTATATAAATATAATTGCACATAGCATGTAAAGTTAAATTTATTAAAATATTTTTGCTTCTTTTAAATCGAGAAAAATAATTTTAAAATTTGAACTAGCTTAAACTGTCATTTTTATCTTCTGATAGATGTGATGTATGGTTGCCTAGTTGGTATCATTTGTGACACTTATGCTCGGGGTACAAGTTTCAAACCATCTGTGGCAATGAACTTTTTTGCATTTTTTTCTTAATTCTTTTTGAGTTAGAAAAAAATTTTCAACTCATTTGATTTCTATCTCATTTATATATCATAACTTCAATGAATATCAGGGATCCTATCACTGTAGTCTCCCTTCGTGAACAGAAATTTATTATTCACATTATTAAATTTTTTACTGTATGGTTTTTTTTTTGTGACTCATTTATTTTTTCAGCTGTTATTTGACTTATTTTAATGATACGTAAAATTATTAAAATTCGTATCTAATTTAAGATAATACCCTCAATAAATTGAAAAAAATTCCACTTTATTAATTAAAAATTGACTTAGTCCACATTCTCCATGTAAACTTAGATTTAAACTATTAATTTATAAAGTATTTACTGTCGAATTAGGTTTGATATGATAATAGGTTACAACTACAAAATGAAATCATTTTACTTTGTAATATATTAATTTTTTAACTTTATATGTGTGTGTACTACCAGTCTATAATATTCCATTTTTTTGGTAAATGTTGCTATTCAAATAATTTCTAAAAAAAATAATTTTCAATTTCACCTGAATTTAACAATGGATTTTTACTATTGTAATCAAACGTTATAATATACTCAATTGAGTAGATTTTTTTAACAACTTTTTGTTTGNTACTTTGTAATTTTTTAATTTTTTAACTCTATTTGTGTGTAGCTACTATCAGCCTATAATATTCCAATTTTTTTTGTAACATGTTGCTATATAAATCATAAATTTAAAAAAAAAATGATTTTTAGTATCACCTGAATTTAACGATGGATTTTTACAATTATAATCAAATTTTATAATACGCTCAATTAAGTAAATTTTTTAACTTTTTTTTTATTGTTTTTTTTAGATATATAATCATTAAAATTAATTAAATTCTGAATATTTCCAACGTAGAATCTTTTTAAACACCAAAAGTTAATTAGAAATGATTACTATGATTTTTATTTAAGTGATCTATTTCGATAAAAATGTAAAAAAAATCGAATTTTTATGTTAAATTTACTGTAAGTAGTAATTATGAAATTTCCTGATTGCATATTAATGTTAACAATTTCATTTTTTTCTATTTAATAATGTCAATGTCAAACTTGCAAATTGAGCTAAAAGTTATAATAATAAATTCATTTTTTATTAAAACTTTTACTTTAAAAGACAAAAAAAAGTAGGTTCAAAATGATTACTTTTAACATATTAAAAATCAAAATCAATAATAATTTGAAACCGATTAA